TTTGTATTGAAATTGCCCAAATCAAGGCTTGAAAGCCACTTCTATGTAAGGGGTTACTTAACTACTATAAATGCCATGAAATGCTTGCACCTAGGGCTAAAACATTGCCTGAGCCACTTCACAGCCTGTCAACAATTATGTAGGTTGGGGTATCTAAGCATGGCCGGCTGAGATTGAACAGGGTGTGGTTGGAACTCCATACCATAAGTTATAATAACCAAAATGGAAACCACTGAGCTAAACCACCTTCACCGTATTCATGCTTAGCCATTTTTAAATGTGGGATAGAATTTACAGTAAAATAAAAGTAATTTATTGAAAGGTTTGCCGCACATTCTCAGCTAAAGCAGCATGAATCGTATACTAATCAAGAAAACACCTTTCGCAAAAAGCACCACCCTGATATGATTTTTTCACCTAGTTTGCGCCAAAGTATTTACTAGAAATATATTCTATTTTAAATATCACTGTATCAATTAATTGAGAGCATATTGATGTTTCATATATTAAACAACAGATTAATTTTCCCTTATTAAACACACATGATACCACTTAGGATTATTTTTAGTAAGTGTCACTCTTGAATAAGCACTTACCTTAAGTGCCACATTCAAATTTCAAAAAATTGTTATAAGCCCTTCGGCTTAACAGGATAAATTTTTTATGTCATATTTTCTAGTATTGACCAGTGGACCAACATCTACGAGTAGCGTACATGTGTGGGGTTGGACACCAATGTAGCTTAACAATTTATCTAGCCATGGAATAAATACATCAGCATACTCTCTACATAAACACATGAAAATAAAATTACAGAGCCTCTCTGATATAAAAATATATACAGATGATGCTACAAGATCACAAAATAGAACAAGTTTTAGACTTAGGTTGTGCATGATTTCTTTCGTCGATGATAGGTGGCTCTTCCCTGATGTTTGAATTGCCGAAGGAGGTAGCATTCATTCGGTCTGCATCTTCAACAGCTCGTTTGAAGGCTTCAGGGTCACTTGGTTTATTTTCAGTCTCATTTCCCGTCTGAAAGTATAATGATTTAATATAAAAATAATGTGTTATTTATATGTAATTGCCAGTACACTACATCAATGCTGCGTGGAATGCTTTTTTGGAATTCATAATTACCATAGTGTATACAATATACCAATTCATACTTCTGGGCACCATAATGAGTATAAGAAAGTATAATACATACTCCAAGTATTGAAATACACGCCATCGTGTTGGGATTCAATATTTCGACATTAATTATGTCATCATCAGGAATCTTTATATTATACATAACATTAAAAAAAACGATATTAGTTTTTTAATTATATGTATTTCAGTGCCTATAGTATTTGCTTGCTAATTTTGAAATCAGAATTGTAAATAATTTTAGCATCGGTATTATAAGTATGAAGTTACAAAATACCATTATAGTAGAAAAATCAAAATTAATTACATTGTCCAATTGAGCTAATAATTTTTAAAAAACTATTAATTCCAAGACTTATTATTTCCAAGACATATTATTTCATATATTTATATATTATATATATTTTATGTACAAACCACATAATGCATCAGTGACATAATGTGATAAAGAATTAACATCTCTTTATAGCCAGGTTCCAGAATAAAAACATATTTTGCTATGTTGCACAACTAATTTTTCTGGGACAAAAAACATATTTAACGAAAAAATTGGCAAAGGCTAATAAGATACAGATTAATGAGTATACATGTTAATAATTGTGCACTTTTGTATTTTATGTGGGAAAAATGGCAAATGGAGTGTGGTGCATGATTTACATTACATTTATGTACATTTTTAATTTAATTTTATTTCTTCTATTTATAACATTTTCAAACTTCTGTTTTAAAGGAGAAATTTACAGTAACATCTCCCAGTGACGTACCCCTCCGTCCGAACATGGTTCGTAAATGAGAAAATTTGTAAATCGGAGTTAAATTTAAATTTTCAGCATCTCAGTGTAGTAAGTGTAGGCCTAGGCCTATGCTACAAAGTACTGCACAGGGCTAGGTACGCAAGCCTTGCCATGGGAGAACAATTTTTTCACGAAATATGACTTGGATTTTACTGTTTTCTGCAACAAAATAATACTTTACAGAACCCAAAATTACCTGTGCTCAGTGTGAAGCATTCATTTAAAGTGATTTCCAAATGAAAACATGACCATATAATGCCTAAAACGAGTGTCATCATTCTTTTTATAAAGATCGTAAATCCATGCAAATAGCGCCCCCAATAACCAAAAAGTGAGGTTTACTCTACATACAGGATTCCTAAACAAGCATGCACAGCTCAAATACAATGAAAACGATTCATATTTCATGTTTTAAACTTAGTTTTTTATCACTTTACCTGCTTGAATGTTCTCTCTTAGCTGATGTAACAATTTAAATTATTTTTGAATACTTTTAAATACATTTTAAAGTGTTTCTGTAGTTAACAACAATCGTTTGTAATGACACCATCGACGTAAATGCGGTTCGTAAAATTGAGAGTTCGTAATTGGGAGATGTTACTGTACCAATTGTATATAACTGGTAAATTCTCCTTAAAGCTACCTAAAAAAACACAGGATGTTGTAATAGCTTGCACTAATAATAATAATAATAATATGTCGTTCTTACAGTATATAGCGCTTAATGCCTTTACAAAGCCTCTAAGCGCTTCACATTACTACCCCGGTCATTGGATCAAATTACATTATTAATTTAAATTATATTATTATTCCATAATATTGTGGATAGTAATTAGCGCAGTTGCGTTGGAACCTACCAGGTACCCATTATTCATAAAATTTATGTATGTACAGTATTGGCAAACATCTGTTGCAAATGACAATATCAACATTTTAACAACATTCATCAGACATCTGTTAATTTTAATCAATAATTTCATTTATATATTACATTTATTTATTTGTCTTTTAATTGTCCATTTAACAGTATGTCTATTAAACTCATCTTTTCGTTGTTTTTCTTTTTTGGTCATGACCCATCCTGTTGTGAAACACAGGTCTCTTGTAAAGCAACACATATTTACAAATATTAACTGTGTTTAAGCATCACCACTTAGGCCAAAAAACAATAACACATGCCAAGACTTAATACCTTAACGCTAGTAAGAATATTGTACATATTTAAACTGACCTGGGCATCTGTGTAGAATATCTTTGCTGCTTCGCGTTCATTGACAACAATTTCTCGGCCATTGAATCCCTTGCCATTTAGATTTTCCAGCAATTTCCCAATCTGCTCAATACTCCATTCATAGTGTTCATCAGAAATATCTGGAAAAATAAAAATTTCAACATTTGCATATAAGAAATGTAAATTAATATAGTAGTTATACAAATCATTACTATATTACTTAAAATATAAGAATAAAAATAATATGATAAATAATGAGAACAATAACAATACTTATATTATTAACTTATAAATATAAATATAATGGTAGTAAGAGTTATAGCATTAATTAAAAAAAAAAAGTAACAGTACCAGCACAACAAAGCCACAAATAACAGAAACAAAAACATATACACCAAAAATAATAATGATAACGACAACAACAATAATGATTGTAGAACTGTTTCATCAATAATGAACAAATGAATAAAGTACAAATTTGATGTAAACTTCCTGCGAGCTTTCGTTGAAGTTTAAATATCTACATGATTTAATTAGGTTACTTGAGCTAGCATCCATGATAGGAGGCAATCTCAAAAAGGAAAAAAAAACAAACAATGAACAGTGATGATGGGGCATAAAATCTGTCCATATTTATGACCAACTCCTTCAACCTGAAATGTGGGGGCTCCTGGAACCGATCCTGAAAGGAAGAGAGCTGACACCAAAGGGCATTGTTTCACACAATCCTCAAAACAACAGATGCTAGCTTACATAGCCTGACGATTACTCGCAGCAGCCAGAATGAAATTGTAAATGACAATCAATTTCTTACTAAAATAGTTAATAATATATTCACACAATGAACATGTTGGCTTCATACCAACAATGATCCTACTAAATTTATAGCAACTTCAAGTATAATTTAATGTCAGCAATCAATGAATCTTACCTATCTTATGGGCTGTCAACAGCTTGAGTTGATCACCAACAGCTCCCTCTGGAGGCCATGGTGAGTTGTCAAGACAAACTGGTATGACAGGTTTACCACACTCTCGAGCCTGCCGAACTAGCAAAGTGGCAGACTGTGACTGAACGACTTCTGGACCGAGACAAAATACCACTGCATCGGAAGACTGCACCACTTTCGCGATATCAGATTCTTTGCCAGTAACTAAATTTTTAAGCAATGATGTTTGGAAGCCTAGAGTATCCAACCTGCATTTACACAAAATATCTTATATCAATGTTTGAATTGTAAGGGGCATGTAAGGCAAAACATTTTTATACGTTGTTTCGCACACCATCCACTCACTGATAATGGTTTTGGAATAAATATATAAACATATAATTTAAATTTGAAGCCTGTCAACACACCTGCCTTCTGTAAAAACAAGAGGGAATCTATATTCTACTGCGCACGACAGTCGATACCCGACGTAATTCTATGAAGAACCCAACCCCACGACAAGCGTGCAACAGATTGTTTTAATGATTCGTTCTGGCTGCAACTATCACCAGACGGCGTCGCGTCGTCTAGCGCTCAGAAGGAGCGCAACTGGATTTGTGGTACGACCACCGAACAGAGTGAGTGCCGCAGATTTACAAAAAAATTCAATTACTGAACTGTTTTGATTGCAACATCGCATTTACTATGCAGCATGTACCAGAATCTCAACAGATACTTTTTTACCTCACACACTTGCATATTTCAAATTTGTCAAAAAAAAATCATATTTTCAAATAATTTTGCTATAAGGAATCAAAATTTAATTCCTTTGATTACAACTCAAACACAAATGCCAAATATTTTTTACCGACTCGCTAACTTACACTGAACTACATAATACATTTTGTCAACATCTTTTATCCTCACCCTGCTTTTATATGCGTTGTTTCTGTGTATCGAGGTTTATCACAATGTATATACACTTCAATTTTATTCAAATGATTTTGTGGTTTGGTAACTTCTTCTGCCTCTTTCCTCCTCCTGTCATCTTTAGTCAACTTAGGTTCTGAAAAAAATAACAAAACCATTATGTTTTTTACTTCTCAGTCCCCGCTGACAATATATAATATTTCTGTATTTTTATATATTACAGCAAAACTATCTAACCTTGTGATTTTCTAATAGCCATAACCTGCTCAGCCCAAGTTTCCAGTTCAGTTGCCCAATCAGAAGACAGCTCATCAACAGGTGGTTTATGCATGTGGTCAATCGTCATTTTATCACCTGTAAACATTGAAGTTAGCTTACATAAAAAATGTTCAAATATTACAAGGTTAATGGTCATGCATTTTTTATGCATTCCACAATATAAACCATTTCAACTTGCTGAAGAACGAGCTACTTTTACAATTTTTGTGCATGGCACAAGCATTTTAAGTGTAGATTAATCACATCCTCATAATTTGAGATTCAGCCGCAGGATTCCAAGCTAAGATTTGGCAATCATAAATTGAAAGTGTCTGCTATGTTTTAATTGCATTTGATTATATTCAATAACAAATGATTATACAGTAATACATTGACCAAATCAACAGTCAATACTCAAATTTTCTGCAAATGTCCACATAATCAATGAATTTTATGCTGCCATTAAGAGAAACGATATAGCAAAAACCATATTTTATAAGAGTATGCAACTGGGAACGGGAAATTTTCTCAGTGAATTGATTCTTGCACGAGATAGCAAGTGTTCAATTTTAACTTTTAAAACAAAACAAATATATCATAAGAAAAAAATCCCTTCAGTGAAACAGTAATTTGTTTTAAATTTGAATATATTTAGTAAAATTAAGAATAATAATAATTTCTCTAAATCGGACTAAAGGGGAATATCTTTTGTGTTATTTTCCCCTTAACGTCATGTCTTTATTTTTCCTCATTCTAATTGGAAATCAGAAATTTGGGATGGGCCCCCTGGGGATCCACGGCAACTGCAGTGTAGTGCCACAGTGAAAAAAGTTTGGCGCAGTGGGAAGGGTTTGGTTTCCCAACCTCAAGGTCAGGGTTTCAATCTCATTGTCCTTAGCCAGTATATGAGGGCTATTCGAGGAGCCAAGTGATAAAACTCCAATAATAATCCAACACTGTCTGGATTTGAACCGGGGTCTACAGCACAAGAAGCAGGAACAATAACTCTATAGCCAACTACTCAGCTAATGATTCATAGGTATACTTAATTATATATAATAGGTAAGCTCACATCAAATACTCCAAAGAAGTGGTAGTAGATTAACACTGACCTTTTTTATAGAGTGTGACGGCTGGGTAAAAGCCTCCAACTGGCTGCATGACAGGCTTGTGGAACACTATATTTCCATTGACACAGCAGTAAACCATCACAGCCTGCTCAGCTAAGCCATCCTCAGCTTTTATTGCACTCGAATACAGGACACCAAACCCTATCGTGTCCCCACACTTTATGTAAGATTGCAACTCCATCGTTTCATCTTTGCTCATATCCTTCTCTAAAAGTTCCAGCTCATTCCGCCAGTAAAACGATTTCGTCCTGAAACCGAAGCGAACATACCGCGAGTCCTTGTCAGATGATAGATGTTTGAAAATGCGATTGGACATATCGTTGGTCAGTGCCACAGCCGGTGCATTAATCAACTCTTGATCAAATGATGGTAGAGAGCCACCATTAACTTTGACCTCAAAATATTTCCAATCTAGATTTAAAAAAGAAAATGCAAGATTATTTCACTTATATTTTTCCTTGTAAGTAAATTTAGTCCGTAATATATAATTGTTCTTATGTATATTTTTCTTTAGAAAAAATTCAATTTTAAATAAATTCCTGATGTAATTATCATCTCTCTATTGCTATTGTCACTACTATTATACCTTTTTCAAACATAAAAAAATGTTTAAATATGAACACTGTATGCAGAACTTACTATGACAGCAACTTTTGTTAAGCTTACTGTATGCATAAAAAAAAAACAACTCTCAAGTAATGGTGAGTATGCGAGTCAACACACTACAGTATACAACAACATACTAGGCTGCTGCAAAGGCAAGCAGAAGGAACTCATTGGATATTTTGAGAATTCACATGGACTGTAATTGTGCAATCCAAAATTAGTCAAACTATGTGAATTGGATGCAAGTATGATAAAGATGGTAATATTACGTTTAGTAACATACCTTTACATAGTGGTAGTGGAGATCTCACAGTATACGGCTTTAGCTTTCTTTTCTTTTTCTCAACAAATATCTGTGGTTTCTGAACAGTCAGTTCTGAAGATTTCAACCAGTTTGAAAAGTTTGTCTGAAAAAATCAGTGTTATTTATTTACTTAATATGACTTACATTCTTTACTCTTATTTTTTCATTGTCAGACAAGATGACACAACACAATCTATTGAGTGGTCAGACAAGTTCTCAAAAGTGAACCTAGTAACTATTCAACAAATAAACATGTTTTTATATTATTATTATTTTTTTATTACAAAAATTAAAAGAATATTATACAAATATTGACTGCTCATGAGGGGAATGGTGAAATCTATTGCCCCGAGTACACACCTAAGTGTCATAAATTACATAGCAATGCGGCCTAAGGATTGCATATCATGCAGTAAGGTAAAAAAGTACTATTTTTTTTAGGGGAATATTACTTTCTATTGCCCGCTTCTTAACAATCAGATGCCTAGAATCTATGTATGAGGTATACTATACTGTAATATGAATTATTTTGCATTGAGCAAAAGTCTTTAACCACCCAGATTTCTATATACTGTCTTCATCATATATTTGCATAAGAAAAAAAAATGGAAGTTATTATAAATTTTTCTTTTCCTATATTCTTTTTTGAGTATAAAAATAATCCTCTCTCGTCACCTAATATCTTCCTGCCAATTTATTAGACACACCATTTTCATGATATATGACTAGATAACTTTAAAAAAGTATGTTAGTACATGTAAACTTGTTTAGGCATACAGGAAGGAACCTAAACAGTTAACGTGTTAACCTTCTATTATCTATTATTCTATTATTATAATTATATATACTGTAGATAAAAAGTGTTTTCGTATTTTGCAAAAACCATTAAGCAACTGAATAATTTTGAGTCCTGATATATAGACAATAATTTTTCTTAAGCTCTGTCTACACTATAAAATATAATGTGACAAATTAGAGGTGGTGTCATATTAAACCCAAATATGAGCACATCACATAAAATATGATAGTGTGGACAGCACTTTAAAATAAGTGTTACAACCACCTGCACCATACCTGATCAAAACTATGTACTGGCTGTTTAGTTTTCGGCCACATCACCTGGACGGTACACGGCTCACCACGGAATGCGATGCATGGGAAAAGATCAAATTCCGAGCCACTTATTATCGCTTTTCCTACAAGTTGATCATTGTTGGTAAAATGGAGAACCTGTTTGCTACTGAAGTACTCAACACAACATCCAATCACATCACCTAACAAACATAAATGAGACATTATTAGTGGTGACTGTAAACATTTTCTGACAGGAGGTCCAACAAAGGGGTCTGAGTCAAGGAGCTGCTCAAGCTTCAGTCAGCACCCCAGAATAAAATTTCTGGTCGAGTTCATAGAGAGATTTTGTGGTTTAAGATAGTCCAAAATTGTCCTTTCTGACAGCAATATTTGTTTAGATTGACTAATTATCTATTTAGCTCAGTTGGTTGGAATATTCACTGTGTGCACACTGAATTGTGGAGATCTTTTTTCACCGGTTCAGTTCCATCTGCTGCTCTCTTTGTGTTTCAGATGGAGTATTGAAATGCAAGTTATGATAGCGCACCGTCTTCCAGATGAGACATTAGCACGTTTGCTGCCACAGACGAGTATACTTGTGTAGCAAAGGGCGCTAGGGCCGACTATACTCGTCAAAATTGGAGTAACATTTAAGCGTTTATTACTTCTTTGTTATACATTGTAGAGCCACAGATATACCTAGACGATAACGTACAAATAACGTATGTATGTTTGTTGTGTTATGTTACCAGCAGTAGACTTGAGTGGGGGCGCCTCTAATGATATACCAACCCATGCAAAAAGCGGACGATAAAACTTGCCCTTGGCAGATAAAAGTGCTGTCCCAGTGCAGGCGACGAGTTTACTTGTCAACTAATATTTTCCAGCCAATTTATTAAACACACCATTTTGATGATATACGACAAGATAAAATTACAAAAAAGTGTGTTTGTACATGAAAAACTTGTTTTGCCACAAGGGAAGGAACCTAAAAAAAATCTGGCAGTCAACGTGTTTATGTTTAGCTGTTTAGGTTAAGGTGTCCTCTTGGCACCCCTCTGGCGATTTTCTGATTTGTGATTTTTTTAAGCTAAATATGTAATAAAATAAATATATAAATCTTCCAGATGTCAAAATTCATTAATTCATTCATTTCATTTTATTTCACACAATGCAAAAACACATTATAAAATTCTTCAGAATAGTAAATAAATAACAAGGACAATGTAATATAATTATGTAAGTAATAATAGCAAATTGATAATAAAAAAAAAAATTACAATAAATAGCAATAGATGAATAAAATAAAAAAACAATTCAACTAAAAGGATCTTGTGATTACCTGAAGAAAATTTTATGGCGTCACAACGTCCATTTCCATTCTGAATGATCTTTCCCTCTGAAAAATATCCTGCAGTCCCGATCAATCTCCCTGGCATCATCCCAACTGTCTGCTTGCTTCGGCTCACTCCCATGCTCACAAAACTTTCCTCACCTACAAGTAAAATGGCCGTATATTATATAGAAGACATTCTCATCTCAAATGTTCTTTATTTAGGTTCTACATCTGACAAAACATTAGTTGATGTTTATGTTCGTCGTTCAGAATAACTTTGACTGTCATTTGTGAGGCGGTGAAGAAATGTACTTATTCTAACTTCTATTCAACAACTGGTCATACCATGGTATATAAACAATATTTATTGTCGTCTCCTCTCAAGTTCGCTTTTCTTACCCGGAATTTTCTAAAGCAATTTTGAATAAAAATTGTTGAGATTAATCAATAGTTATGAGAATTATGCAGGCAGTTTCAAAAAATTGGAACTGGAGAATTACATAGGAGCCACACCAATGTTAATGGCCCGGAAGTTTCACAAAAAAATTGGTATACTTTAAATGTAAAAAACCTAATATCATGTTCTCTGAGTATTCATGTTTTCTTTTTAATAGACTCAATACATTCCAGGCAGCACAACACTATACACGACTAAAAACAAACTTACGATATTCTGTTCATAAATATAAAGAAAAACATGATTCATATTTTAAGAATATGGTAGCATAAATCTTTGTTTACACTATCAGATCTTTTGTGACACCTTTGATGTGCCCATATATGGACATTACGATGTCATAGTTCACGCAAATATGGGCATAACACATTTATTTGTCACATAAAATTTGAATGTGAACGGAGCTAAACTTTTAAGATCTAATTTTAACTTCTTATCATTACTGGGGAGGGGAGACCGGGCAACTGAAACAACAGCCTACTCACCTGCATCAGTAATTTTCATAGTAAAATTAGGTTCATCTGGGGTCATTGACTTCTGCAACTGGATCAGTTTCCAATTTGATAATAAGTTTGCAACAGGTTTAATAATACTTCCCTCTTGGCCGGTCGGGGGACCGATTTGTTCATGATAACGGAATAAACCAGTTGTTTCTCCTTCTTCATGAGTGTGGTCAGCAGTTGGTTTAGGAATTTCAACTGCTACAAAAAATTGAAACATGATTTTCGAAAGATAAAAATACGGATATAAACCTTTCTCATGATCTAACTTTAAAATTAAATTTAAATAAAAAAAAAAAATGCTATTAATTTACTGTACTCAAATATTAAAGACACTGTATGATAATTAATTCCTAACATCTAAATTTTACATGTAAATTGGGCATTTCATTACCCGCTATGTTTTTCATCCAGTATTTTATAAACCTGCTAGGTTTTTAGATTGGGTAGTATATTCCAGTTTATGGGTTATCCTATTTTTGCATGCTAATTTTATCAATTTTAATAAAATGTAATTATTATATTTTAGGCTGTAATTAAGAGGTCAAATTTATGTAAGTCTTTCAATATATTGTTTTAATTGTATTCTTTTAATATTACTGTACCATCTTTCACATATATATTCACAGATCAAGCAAGATCATGCTATTAGTGCATGGATAATAATTGTAGCTTGAATATAAACAATCAAATTTACACAAATTACTCTTATAACAATGACACTACCGTAATACAATGACAATAATGACTTACCGGTAAACAATAATGGTTTTGGCTTTAATGCTTCCCTAATCCATGCTTCCTCGTCTGAAGTATCTGGAGACGTTGCCTTCATATTTACCTGTACCACAGATCCTAATAAGACATTACAAGAGGATTAGTTTCCACAAAGAATGTAAAGTCTTAATCTCTACAATAAGGAATATTAATTAAGTTGTTGATTAACTTGGTGCAATCAACACTGAGCCAATTCAAAAGCATGTAAAGAATTAACCAACTGCTTGATCTGGTTTTCTCCAACCTTGGTATTCAAACTGTTTGATATGGTGACCCTATTACAGCTTGGCTACCTTGGCGACCCGAACTCCATCCTAACTGTCATGAATCTTCCTCTTGGAAATGGATCCAACGAATCAGATGACCAAAATGAAACCCAAATGAATGAGAATTACTCAAATGAAGCTTGATATAAAGAGGGTTGAGAGAGAGTGCGCCCAACTAGTGGTGTTAATACTAAGCTGCACTAAATAAGCCACTGGTAGCCTACATGCAAAAAAATTAATAAAATAATTACAGATGAATTCAACAATTTTTAACATTGTTATTCGTTTAAACATTATTAAAACATTAAACATACTGGCGCATTTAAAACTATAAGTGGTTTATATGTCCAATTCCTTAATTTTATAATAATGAGTGGAAGTATATTAAGGGTATTACCATTATTGATTGCATTTATTCATATAATAATGGGTATAAGTAAAAGAATATTTTCAATAATTATTGCATTTATTCATATATTAATGGGTATATTAAAGGGTGTTTTTATTATTTACTGTATTTAGACATAAATACATAATACATAAATCCATAACTAGAGGTAATAAATAAAGAATATTTTCACTATTTATTATATTTATTCAAATAATTAACAAAGGGTATTGAATTGTATTTCATTTTATTGGTTTATTAAAAAAATTTTTAATATTGACATTCAATATAAAACCCGTATGTGGCAAAGAAAAGCCAAAGCAGTAACTTGTCGCAAATCCTGTTTCAGGGATGATGGCCAAAACATGACTGTAATAATTTTTGAAATCTATTTTATTGAACTAAACTAACCATTATATATCTATATATCATGCTATGCTGTTATTTACCCCATGGTTTCTGCCTGAGAAATGCCAAAAATCATAAACTTTGAAGGATGATTTCTCAAATATTGTTCTTTAAACACCTGTATGTTTAAACTCCTGTAACTTCATAACGAAATGTCAGATTTAAACGATTCCTTTACCATTTTATAGCTCTCATTTTACTGTTTAACGAGCTGTAATAATAACTAAAAATCGATTATTGCGATGAGCGACTGGTTTGGCTTGTCTTTGCCACACATTACAAACCTTGTGCAGCTAAGCCAATGGTTGCATAGAAACCACCAGTAGGTTGTTCAAAGCATTGGTGACATAAGACTTCTCCATTGTGCGTGAAGTAAACCACAACAGGCTGCTCCAATCGCCTGTCTGTTAAATTCTTGTCAGCAAATATCAAACCCAATCCTATGACATCATTAGTCTTACACATAGCTTCATTGCCTAGTTTCTGAGCTACAAAGTAGAAAAAACAAAACAAATTAAGAAATTATAAAGTGTAACATGACCAAAAAATGGCCTTTATGAGTTATCATTATATTAATTTAAAAAATATATTCAATAATTCACAACTTAAGAGAGTAAACACCATAAACAATTGCATTTGTTTGTAAATTGTCTGATCCTGGGGTCCCAAGTTCGTGAGATCGGGCTAAATGAGCTTCCATAACATATTTAATTATATTTTATTGCACATGGTGACACTCGTCGGAAATGACTTCCGTGAGATAATTGATAATAAATTAGTAAAAGCATGCAAATATTATGAATTGGCTGCTGAATCAAAGGGTTCTAACCACAGGCTGACCATTCTCGGCCGGCAGTGCTTAGTTACCCCAGCTTGCACTGTTGACAGATTGTGAAGTGGCTCACGCTATGTTTCAGCCCTAGGTGGGAGATTTCATGGCTTATAAATTAAATAAATATTGTGTGGCCACCTCTCATCAACACTGATGGTAACATCAGGCCTAATTAACTAAGATATACACAAAAAACATATCGGCGTGGTCTGTGATTACCTACAGTAACAGCCATAAAGAGGCGCTTATAGTAGCTACATGTTCACATCATTCCGACGGGGAGAAATGAACCATATCGTAGGGGTAATCCCTTACTCTTCCGAAAAATGCAATGGGTTCTTTACATCTGGCACACGAGCCAGATTTATACACTGGGCCACCATTTTAGGTCCTTATCTGAGAAGACTTCGTTCTACCACCCTGGGCGAGGAGCCCAGTAAATAAAAAAGCCTACAATTATAAAGGTGTCTACAAAGTTTGAATTAAAATGTTTATTTGCCCCCTGCGGTGTTGGACTGGTCATGGGGAATCCATGATTATGTTGAATAGTGCTAGCCTACAGAAGCTTATTGAACATCAAGCCAGACACGTAAAACAATTCAGCTCACCACCAGTGTAACAATTTCTATATTATATACAAATGCTACTAAGTATGAGTTTCAAATCATTGCCTCTACCTTTAAATTTTGTTTCACACATAACAGCGCCATCTACAGCGCTATATCCGATAGCACCTGTTGTTCTGCCTGGCAACTCATCATCTTCGATGAAAGCAGACGTTAAGCCAATTACCGGTCCAAGTTTCACATCTTCACCCATGTTAAGCAGTGTTATCTCATAGTAAGAATCTATAATAAAAAAGAGAGTGGGTAAAATTGAAACATCATACTAAATGTACCTGTAATTACTTAATGGCATTATATGCTGTAAATGAGTGACTGTTGATTATTTACAACAATTTAAAAGAAAATCATATTTATAGAGGGCGACCCTTCCACATAGGTTAGCCAACTTGAGCATGCATCAAAGTTTGAGGTCAGAATATATAAAAACATATTTTGTCACATTGTCCAAGTTTTGTGGGCACATTTAAGAATCCAAAATTCTGGTTCTGTTAAAACATTTCTGAACATTACCTTCTAAAAATGGACAAGGTGATTGTAAAGCTGCAGGGCCTGAAGAAGACTTCATGTGGAATGTGTCATCATCGACACTCACAAAATCTGGCATCGACCATTGGGAAAGGTTTTCCTGATAGAAAAAAAGATATAATATATTTTTGGGAACGATAATCTACTAACAAGGAATGTGTAATATCTAGCTGATTATTTTCAGGTTGTTTATTTGTTAACAGCTTGTAGTTTAAAAATGTACATTCTATGTTGAAGAAAGAGAAGTAAATTTGTAATTCAGCTTATTATAGTTAGTATTTGGTTAGATCAACAACTGTTTGCTTTTATGCAATAACCTTAAAAACAACAAATGGGCTTTCATTAAATTAAACTTAACTATCATTCAAAGGACAAGTATTAAACTAAACATTGCAAATCTATACTTTACAGAAAGTGGTTGATTCTTAGGAGCACCTGCAATACATTTTGAAGGTACTGGCTCATATTAACATGGGGTCACTCTCAATACAGTAGAAGAAAGGAGAATTGGATTGGTCATGTTTTAAGGGTAGAGAGTTTGTTGAAAGAAGTCATAGCAGGACGAATGGAAGGGAAAAGACCAAGAGGAAGAAAGAGGATAGGGATGATAGACGATTTAAAGGATAAGAGGCCTTAGGTGGAAATGAAGAGGAGAGCAGAGGACAAATGTCAGTGGAGGAGTTGGCAGCCAGGGACCTGCCTGATGGCAGAACAAAAGAAGACAGCATCAGACTCTTTATGTATGAAAAATAACAACATACACAATCAAATTGTGGTATCAATGATGTTTTGGATGACCATGTGACACTCAGCTCTGCAGGCCCCCACCAAACATTGATTGTCGGCAGTAAAATGTCTTTTTTCATCCACTGGCGAAACACTACTTCTTCATTCTTCAAAAAGGAAACCAAAGCTCTCTTCTTGTCAGCATAATCCAACAACATAGCTACATTATCACCTACGTCAGTAAAAATCAGAACTATTTAATATTCAATTCTAAATCATTAACAACTTAATTTTGCGATATTATTCATATATAATTTACATTATTCAGTAGACAATTGTGAATTTCTCTTAGTTCATTGTATGCTGTACACTGTGCAATACTCAAACTGTACTCATTTACATTGAAAAAGATTACAGGAGCGAAATATCGGTTGAAATAAGAAGTTCCAAAGTCCACCTTTATGTTTAATAAATTAAGTTTTACTTCATGATGGACCTGGTTTCACCACATGTTTGTTTTGTGTCTGCTTATACCGTTTAGGAGCAAACTTCATTGTTGAAGGCTACTGCTCCATTGGCTGTAGCGTTTGTAAAGTTTATGCATACGGGTGCATACACAATTACACAATCCAAAATCTTTTAAAATGTCACTAACATTAACATTAGTAATAATGATACAAACAATAATGATAATGATATAAATATTAAAACTATTTATAGAAATGTTATGTAATAACGGAATACACTATTCCTCAGTTCGATTTACACAAAACTATTACAAGTAGTGACGTTATGTACAACCCTTTTAGACTAGACTCCAAGAGATCCCATTCACATCCATCGCTATCACTATCCTGAAAAACTTCCTAGTTGGCAATATAAAGGAACGGGACATTTACCCCGCCCAGTCATCCAGGTGTCCGGCGAGCAGATGTTGAGATAGGGGTCTTACAGAGGAGCAGACTGTCAAATAGGGTAAAGTACTTATGGTGGGCATTTGTAAAAATCAACCCCAATTTCATTTTCATAAATTTTACCTTTTTTGTATGTAGGAGCAATTTCAGACGCACTGGATCGAGCTGGATTTGCAATACTGCCATCATCGCTAAAGTAAGCCATGGCAAATTTCTTCTTCTTTGAATGAGGTGTTTCTTCGTCATCATTATCTTCAGAATCTAAATAATTCTCACTGCCAATTCCTATGGCAACCGTAGCATCTTTTGCTAAAATTATGAATAATGAAACCCTTAACTATAAATTTGGAAAGATTATTATTAAATAGAACAGCGCTAAGAATATGAGCACGTCTCACAAACACATGTGCCGTCCCACAAACGCACGTGTTTGCGTATGTTTTAACACTGCCTTGTGGGACCTTAGCAATAATATTCAAGGGGCATGGCTTAGCGGAAAGGTCCATTATCAATTGACTGAAATACTTTCTTAAGCTCTGTCCATATTACAAAAAACTGTTGTATGCCCATGTATAGTCATGATGTGGCTATATGATTATCATTGTGATGTCATTTAATAGATGATTTAATGATGAGGTTTTAATAGGCTGGACAGGGCTTTAATAAGTGAAAAAGATTGAATTACATTCATGTATTAATCCTCTCATTTGACTGGACAGCATTTTCACTAACACAGTACTACTTCTCACAATAATTCCAGTTTCCCAAAACAAGTCAAGTTTATAAACAAAAGCAAATAATAAAGTACGAAAATAGTATATTAAAATAATAATATCAGTTGGATTTATTCTAAAGTAAAGATGATGCGTACCGTAAACGCTCAAATAAGCACCGCTCTCAAATAAGTGCCGCGCCAAACGTTAATATTTTTTTGCTAAGCGCTGTTCTCGAATAAGCGCCGTGGCACTTGATCGAGAATATATTACCCTGTGTGTAATGAAACACTTTGAGCAACAGGGTTTAAAAGCACCACTCTTGAATAAGCCCCGTACTGAAGCCTTTAAAAATGTTATAAGCGCCAAGGCACTTATTAGAGCACTTACAGTAATGCAATGTTCGTTTTCCTTGAGTGTTGTTTTAGTTTGGTATTCTGTTGCCGTAACAGGCAGTTAGAAAAATAAGGTCGACTAAAGTATAAATATATTTTATAAAATATAAAATAAGGTTATGTAAAATAAGGTTGACTTAGAAATTATTCACAATAGGCGAATTCGACTTAGGCAAGTTTAACTGTACTTTTTTTCTACGTCGACCTTATTTTACATGCCAAATTGTTGTGTTTTCCATTATTTAACAATCTGTAAAGTCGAATTTCATCAGTCAGTTTAACAATTTTTCAATGTCATTTTGAATTCGACTTAGGCAAGTTCAACTGTACTATAAATTCAGTTTGGACAAGCTTTACAATGAACTCACCTAATTCAATGATATTGACCGTAAAATACGGTTTCTCCTCTGAGAGGCATTCTGTGGCTGACTGAGCAAAGACCCAATGCTGAGATTTCTCTGAAAGATCTGGAACAACGATGACATCGCCCTCTCCACTGCCTTGTTGGACCTCTTCCGAGTATTTAAATCCTTCCATCTTCTGAACGTTAACTTTAATCAGCTGTCATCGAGTGGAGATAAGAAATTTAAAAACACTTAAAATTTAAAACACTATACTTTAATAACTGTGGTTGAGGAAGGAGTATTTTTGGTGTGTATCACATGAAGAATAACCTGAAGACTTGTACAAGTAGGGTCATTCTGGTGGTGAATTAGGCAGTACACCGGGAGACAATAAGCTCTCAAGACGCATCTGCTGTCGGCTGCTTTTTCCTAGTTCTTCGGTTTGTTTTGCTTGCTTGCTTAATTGCATTAGTTAGATACTCCCATTACTTGAGCACCAGTGAGTAATGAATAGGCGGGCCATGTGCCTTAAATTGCCTGTAAACGGTGCGGTGATGGTGTGGTGTTTCTTTTCTTGTAGTTTAGGTTCATGGTAATTTTTTATTAAACACAAACTTGTGTGCATGGATTGCTACTATGCAATTGGTAAATGTTGTATGTGGCTTAGCGAGGTTTTTGCTTCAGTGTATTTCGGGTAGGCAGCTTGGCATTGCCAGTAGCAATGGTCTCAGCACGGTTGTGGAACCTGTTATGGGACTCAGTGAAAAAGTGAAACACTTACTCCTCCAGCCAGCAGTTGCGAAGATGAATAAAATTTCGGTAAAAATATTGTTATGCTAGGCCTAACCATTGTGAGTAACTATCATATACTAATTTGAGTAAAGACAAAATATTTGTGCTGGTTTACCGTCCAGACACGTGCCCAGCTCTGGAAGAAATATATCGTAGCACCATTCTTCATTCATTTAAATGCCTTACCATTATTGGCATATTTTAAAGTAAACAAAATCAGTTTGGGACTGGCTATACATACAGCGGCTGTGTATACAACAAAATTATATGTTATATGCACAGCGACAAGCAACCAATTGCAGCACACCATAGTATCACGTGATTCAAAAAGCTCGCTTTTTAAAAACAACCAATTTTGCAGTGTTTTGTACATGATTCTTTGCACAGAGTGGACGTGATATTTGACGACGTGTGTGTGTGTGTGTGTGAAGCACTTTATGCATGAAGCACTATGTACGACCGACATATTATTATTATATAATTATATATATATATATCAAGTTATAAAAGTTAAAGTTAAGTTATGTATATAAGATGTGTATAAGAGACAGAATAAGCACCGCTCTCAAATAA